ATTCCTCAGCACTACATAAGCAAAAAGAAAAAAGCCAGTAGTGGTGCTGTGGCTCAAGTGGTAGAGTGCTAGCCTTGAGCTGAAGAGCTGAGGGACAGTGCCCAGGCCCAGAGTTCAGGCCCCATGACCAGACTCCCCCCCCCAAAAAAGTCAGTGTGTACTACTAGTATATCTGGGGGGCGGGGGGAAGCAATATAAACTTCTTAAAGAAAATTTGGTGCTGGGGTGGTAGCTCACACCTATAATCCTAGCTACTCAGGAGGCTGAGATCTCAGGATTGCTGTTTGAAGCCAGCCAGGGCAGGAATGTCTGGGAGATTCTTAAGGAAAAAAAAAAAGCTGAAAGTGGAGCTGTGGCTCAATTGGTAGAGTGCTATCTTGGAGCACAAAAGATCAGGGACAGTACCCAGCCCCTGAGTTCAAACCCCAGGACCAGCCAAAAAACAAAAATAGGTTTGGCTGTGAAGATAGGAGAAATCGAGTGGCTGGGTACAGTGTTTCTGTGTTTTTATAAGGTGGAAGCCATTTAAACATGGCTGAACCCTGGTGGAGAGGGCACAGAAAGACTGAGAACACTGCACAGGCACTGGGAGGATGGAACCCCAAAGAAATCTCTCCCCATACTGAGCTGAGCAGGCAGAGAGCTCAAGCTTTGGAGGGCAGGGATGTTTGCAGTTTTGCCCACAGTTCAGCTTAGTGAATTCTCTTTTCCTAGGAGAGGTGGAAGGGAAGGAGCTATGGGATGGAGGATCCAAGAGCACTGTCAGGAGGTGGGACTAGCCCTGTGGACAAGGAAGCGGAAGCTGAACTCATTAGACAACTTGTAGGTGTGAATAGGAAGGAAAAACTGGGAGAGAGAGAGAGAAGGGGGGACATTATCCAAAAGAAATGTACTCATTACCTGACTTATGTAACTATAACCCCACTGGACATCACCTTTATAATAACAATATTTTTTTTTTAAAGAGAAAGCTGAGCAGGACATTCCATGATAGAGAATGTCACTGTGGGAAAGGCATGGTTTTGCAGACACAGGGCCACTGACAGAGACAATGAACTGATCCCATGTTGTATACAACTGAAGAATAAGAAAAAATACACTGGGTTAGCAGTATTTCCTAGAATAAAATGATCAAGTCATACTGTCACCTCAAAGACAGTAAGTACCAGAGCAAGGCTGGGTTTACTCTTCACCTTCCATCCACCCCAGTCACTTCTCCACGTGGTTAAAGAACAAGCAAGCAATCACTTCATGGATGAAGAGGGTTTCTTTATATCTTTTTAAAGAAATGTCTCACCTGCTCCTGAGCATCAGCTTCACTAACTTCTCCTTTTAAGTTCCTCCCAGACACCAGTTCTTCCCAAGTAAACAGCAAGGAATCGGTGACTTCGCCAAATGGATTAAAGTCAATTAACCACACCTTCCCCTGGAGTAGACAGAAAAAAAAAAGGATAAAATAAAAAACAAGCAGTACATATTCTGGTATTATTGTCCCTGAATGGCAACCCTCCAGATCTCTAAATTGCGGTGAAAAGATCATTCCTTTGGGACCCCTCAGAGAAGGGGCCACCTGTGCACATCCAGGACTCCCAGTGGCACCTGGAAAGTTATTTTGGCTTGAATGTAAAATACATGAGGGCACTACCAAAATGTGGGTTAAAGAAACTTCAAAAGCTACCTACTTGAAACCAGATGCAAGTCAGGTTAAATTAATCCTTTTAAATGCATAAATGTAAATAGGAGCCAGAAAGGAAATCTGCAAAACAGATGTAAAGGTAGCAACAGCTGTGGGGACCTGGGAGTGGAGCCCTTCCCAGGAACCCAGGGCATGGGGTTTGAACCTGCACAGGAGCAGACAGGTGAAGAAGGTTCTGAGACCCAAGTAGTGACTTCAGGTGACTGCAACCTCAGGGAAGGATATATAGGGAAAAACTCCAGGGCTGGGACAGCAAGAGAGGGGAAGATCTCCCATTGGAGGGAGAAGAGAGGTAGGATGGAACAAGCAGGAAGCCGGAGCCTTGAGAACAAGAACAGCCTTGTTCTCTCTCTGCTCCCTGATGCCAGATGAGCAGCCTGTTCCACTCTCCCCTTCTTGCCAATGCTCTACCTTACCACAGTAATACAGCCAAGTAAGGTTGGACTGAAAACTCTGAAACCACAAGCCAAACAAATGTTTCTTCTTCTTAAGAGGTTTATATGTTGTATTTTGCCACAACAATGAAAGGCTACCAACGTAACCTCCAAGTGTACTACGTAAGGGCCAACAAATTTAGAAAGCAAAAGATTTAACATATATTGTGGGCCTAGAAAGGTGGCTTAGTGGTAGAGCATGCATGCCCTGGGTTTGATTCCTTAGCACCATATACAGAGAAAAAGCTAGAAGTGGCTCAAGTGGTAGAGTGTTAGCCTTGAGCAAAAGAAGTTCAGGGACAGCACCCAGGCTCTGAGTTCAAGCCCAGGACTAGTGAAAATAAAAAACAAAAACACCTCATATATTGCCCCTACTAATAAATCAAGTAGATAAAAAAATAATAAAGGGAAGGGGTAAGGAGTTATTCTTTTTTATTTAATATACCAGTTTTCAAGACAAGCATTTAAATGTGAAGATTTTTGAACTGGGAGTGTTACTCCATGCTAGAGCAGATGCCTACTGGGGTTTGAGCCCCAGTACTGGAAAAAAGAGAAAAATGTAAAAAAAAAAATTGTATACAAAAGTAGGAAAATAGTATAAAAAATCTCCACTTCTTCCTTGTCAGTTTCACTGGTTATCAATTCATTGTCAATACTGTTCACCTATCTTCCCATCCATTTCTCTAAAATATATAATTCTGAAGGAATCTTCAAAATTATTTATTCCACAAATAGAAGATCTGAACAATATTAACAAGCTTGATCTAAAGACATTTGTAGAATACTGTACATACTAAAAATTGCTTTGTTTTTCAAGCACACATGGAACATTTACAAAAGACTGACCAGGTTCCAAAGTCAATTTTGACAATCGAAGACTCAGAATGAGATAGATATATTCAACCCATAAAGAAATAAAACTAAAAGTTAGCAACAGCACTCATAGCTGAGAATCATAAGGGGAACCAGAATAAGCTTTTAAGAATCCAAGACAAAGCTAGATGCTAGTGGCTCATGCCTGTAATCCCAGCTACTCAGGAGACTGAGATCTGAGGATCAGAGTTCGAATCCAACAGGAAAGTCTGTTGAGATTTCCAAAAACAATAGCCAGAAATGGAGCTGTGGCTCAGAAAAGTAGAGCTCTAGCCCTGAGCACAAAAACTCAGAAAAGGTGCCTAGACTGGTACATGAACACACAAACATATATACACAGAGAGAGAGAGAGAGAGAGAGAAATCTAAGACAACCATTGTAAATTGTGTGTATTATCACTTCAGGAGCTGGTGAAAGCATGTATCACAGTGTGAACCCTGGCTCTGTGAAAGGATGGACCATGCTGGTGCATACTGGTATGGGATGGCGAGACTCCCTCCATACTGAGGCAAATTGTGCAGCCACATGGACAAGTCGTGTCAGGGGTGGGCAAACCGAAACACTTCAGGTACACGTGCAACAGAGTTACACAAGAGTCTGCTTTCTGCAACAGCCACAAAATAATATATTCAAGAACATGTCTACCAAACTCTGACACAAGTGTTGTTAGTAAATGAAATGAGTTGGCCAATATGGTTTCAATCCCTTAACAGAAGCTGTCAGGATGTTGATACTGTCATGTTTGTTGCTTTTAAAAATGTAGAACTAGTTTCAGTTTGGCAAGTCACAGCAGTAATAACTTATATACATGTCCAACTTCGACACCCAGTAAGTCTTTTACCAAGTCAGACACCTATGTCTACCTGACAGCCTGGGAATTTTGCCAGGGACATACTGAGATACCTTTGCTACTTCAACGTTTGTTAACTGCCAATAAATGATAAAAGTACCCTAGTTCGTGTACAATGTAGACAGATCATATATATGTCACAGGATTATACAGATTGAATGAGTTAGTGAATTAAATAAGAAAAAAGTCCTTCAGAGGAGTGGGCTGATTAAACACTCACTAACAGCTTGAACCCTGCGTGTCCACAGTCCCTATGTGAAGATCAATGCCTCTAGAGCAAAGATTATCCTGTTCCTGGCTTCTGGTTAGAACATGGCATCCAGTACATCACAAACTTGATCTGAGTTGCCTCATATCAAGCAGACCAGAGCAAGAAGCCTGGACATTTGCCTGTTAGATCTGATTTCTATCCATCCTCTCAGAGCTGCTTTCCACCCTTTTCTAAAATTCATTAGCAGAGTTGAAACTGCCAAGAAACATTCCTCCTCTTGCCTAAAGTTTCTTTGTAGCCCTTCTTTCTAACTCCTAGTAGCTACCATCATGCTGGAAGCTGGGAGACAGACAGGTGAAAGTACAGGGTTGCCTGTTGATTTAGCTGGGGCAAGCAGGTAACAGCTGTGTGGGGACATGACCCTATGGGCCACAGTCTCTTGTCTAGACTGATTCAAAGGTACTGGGCATCAGCACCATGAAGCTGAGGGGAGTAAGAAACACTCTGCTGTTGCAATGGGGAATGCAAAAGAGCACACGTCTGAACAACTCTGCTCTCTTCTGAACAGCTAAGCAATGATCACAGGCCAACAGGCAAAACTGAAAGTTCTTTGATAAGATTATCTGTTTTGGACAGTGAAATTTTATTTTATTTTTTTTACTAAATCAGGATTTTCTTTTCTAATCATGATGTTTTCATCACCTTAAAGATTCAAAAATCATTAGCTATTTCTCAGAAGAAGACATACAAGCTGGATGTAGAGCTGCATGCCTTTCGCTCCAGCACTTGGAAGATAAGCATCAGGATCTTAAAGTCAAGGCCTGCCTGGATGGGTTACACAGCAAGGCCCTGTCTCAAATCAAACCAAACAACCTATCCTTCCCCCAAACAAAAACCTAGAAGACATCATACAAATTGTATGTTACTGAAAATTAAAAACACATTAAAAGATATTATTTCATTCATGTCAGACTGACTATCAACAAAAAGAAGTATTGGTGAGGACAAGAAGAAAAGCAAACAAAAAACCCTTCTGTACTATTGGTGGAAATGGAAAGTAGTACAGGCAGATGGAAAGCACCAGATTCCTCAAAAAAAAACAAAAACAGAACCACCATACAATCCAGTAACCCATTCCTGTGTATACGTCCACAGGAGGTTGGGAGACACCTGCTCTCCCATGGTTCACTGCTGCGCCATTCATAATAACCAGAAAACAAAACAACCTTCAAGTCCTTCATTGATGAATGAAGAAAATGTGATGCATTTACCCAGTGGAATTCTATCCGGTTATAAAAAAGGGTCTGATCCTGCCATTGTGACAAGATGGCTAGAACAAGAGGTCTTTATGTTAAATTAAATAAGCCAAGGATAGAAGACAAGTATGGCATGGTCACCCTCCTATCTGAAATCCAAACAAGTTGATCTTATAACATGAGGAGGGGAGTGATGAGGACCAGGAGATGGGAAAAGAAATAGGGGCACTAGCCAGGCATGGATGGCTCACGCCTGTAATCCTAGCTACTCAGGAGGCTGAGATCTGAGGATCACGGTTCAAAGCCAGCCCGAGCAGGAAGGTCAGTGAGACTCTTATCTCCATTAAACGACCAGAAAACCGGAAGTGGCTCTGTGGCTCAAGTGGTAGAGTGCTTGCCTTGAGCTAAAGAGTTGAGGGACAGCACCCAGGCCCAGAGTTCAAGACCCACAACCAACAAAAAACAAAAAAACAACAACAAAAGAAATAGGAAGGTAGGGAGAGGCAGGTACTAATAGACAGGCATACAAAATTCGGCCGTGCTAATGGATGACACGTTTTAAATAACTGCAAGAAAGGATTTTGAATACTTTCATCATAAAGAAATTATAAATGTTAGAGAAGACATGCTTACCCTGAATTAAATAGTATCAACTGAGGCTCTAAATTAAAATATCATATAGTACCCCTATAGAAATGTATAATATTTATGTATCAATTAAGGAGATAAAATTAAATTAAGAATGTTAAACCTATTAAGGGAAAAGAATTATAAAACATTTTATAACATTACAAAACATATATAACATTCATATTTAAAAACAAAAGTGGAGCCGGGCGCTGGTGGCTCACACCTGTAATCCTAGCTACTCAGGAGGCTGAGATTTGAGAATCGTGGTTCAAAGCCAGCCCGGGCAGGAGAGACCTTGAGACTCCTATCTCCAATAAACCACCAGAAAACCGGAAGTGGCGCTGTAGCTCAAGTGGTAGAGCTCTCGCCTTGAGCTGAAGAGCTGAGGGACAGCGCCCAGGCCCAGAGTTCAAGCCCCATGACCGACAAAAAAAAAAACAAAAAAACAAAAGTGGATCAAATCATGCTAAAAGTTGTTTAGTTGCCTAAAAACAATTCCTAAAATGTACAATGACAAATTAACAGTGTTAATGGAACTATTTTAAGGAGGGCCAGACCTTGACAAGGAAGTAAAGTAGGAGATAGGGTGATCCTGGACCACCTGCTTCCTGAGTAATCCCAAAACCTCTGCACACCATTATTTAAGACAGTAAGTCTCCTCTGGTCAGGTATATTTTCAGAGTTGCCTATGGACTACTATGACTTCCAACGGGGACTCCCACCAATTGGCGGCTGGTTTGGAAGGTAGCTTGGACAAGGGACCTGCCCACAAAGCATGGCTGCACATAGAGCTTTCTGGTTCAAAGCATACCACCAGAGCTTTTACTTACCCTACTGTCTCTGTATATGTCAAATACAACTGTAAAAAAGAAAAGACAAGTCAGTAAGAAGCTAATATATCATGATCCTTTCTTGTGAAATTCAAGTGTGCTTTAGTACTAAACAGAATATAATTGGCCTTGAGTTACTGCTGCTTCTAAATCTCAACATTTCAAACATTAAAAAAAAAACTCCCCTCCCCAACACACTAGTTTATGGACCTACCTTTGTTTCCCATTCTCTACCTGCAATCACAAAAATCCTCTGAACTTAAAAATTCAAACCCAACACTAACACCACCACTGACCAGCTTGTCCATGAACTGGTCACATGGGAAAAAGGGAGCTGTAATTTGAAAATGAACGTATATAGCTTATTCTGTGAGTGAAAGGAACAAAATACATCATAAGAAAGCATAAAACCTACACTAGGCTGATAGCAGAACTCCTCAAATCTGCCAGAAGCAGAGAAAAACATATATCACAGATGCGATTTTAAGATATATAAAAATGCTTTTAAATACAGTGTACTTTTAACTCCTCAAATCAACCCACAAATGTGTACCGTGCTGCCTTTAAGCTTTCAAATATGGAAGCTAGAAAAGGAACAGTGCTCTGTTCTCCTAGATGGAGCCTGTAAAATGCACATCTAAAGACCAGGCGAGAACTGTCAGGATTAAAGAGGAATTCTATTCTTTTTTTTTTTTTGGGTCCGGTCATGGGGCCTGAACTCTGGGCCTGGGCGCTGTCCCTCAGCTCTTCAGCTCAAGGCTAGCACTCTACCACTTGAGCCACAGCTCCACTTCTGGCTTTTTTCTTTTTGCTTACATGGTGCTGAGGAATTGAACCCAGGGCCTCAGGCATGCAAGGCAAGCACTCTACCACTGAGCCACCTTCCCAGCCCCCTTAAAGAGGAATTCTAATTAAACAGGGTAAAACAAACACACAAAGCTCAGAAATACCAGCTATTAATACAGTACAAGGCTTAAACATAACTTCAAATGCAGTTGTTTTCTTTTTGTGGCCAGATCCCAGGGCCTTAGGCATGTTAGATGAACACTCTGCCACTGAGCTACCTCACCCTTCAAATGCACCTTCAAGTAAGAGTTAGCAACATTTAAGTCAGTAAAAAAAAAAAAATACTCACAGTCTTCATCTAAGAACTTATACTGTATGTGTTTCTTGAAAAAGTCTTGTATGCATCTGCAAATTTCTTCCTTTTGTTTAGAAATATGATCATAGTATTGTGTATAATCCCTCTGAGAAATTCCTGATGAGAAAACAGTTTGAATTTTGTTATTATACTAGTCTCTAAAAAACAAAAAAGAAAATGTGTGATTTAAACTCCTTCCCTCCCCATTATACCAAGATTTGAACCCCAGGCCAAGGCCCCTCGCTCACTTGGCTTTCTTATTTACAGCTGGCACTCACTCTATCATTTGAGCCATGCCTCCAGTTTAGCTTTTTCTGGTTAATTGGAGAAAGTTCCTTAGGACTTTTCTGCCTGGGCTGGTTTCAAACTACAATCCTCCAGATGACAGGCATGAGTCAGTAGCATTTAGCTAAATGTATCTTTCAAGAAAACTGAAAGATCAGAAGACAAATCAAATGAGTATGACGGGACACACACGGACCACAGATCTTACACGGAGAGGTGAATGCTGAATCCGACGTTCTATGCTGTCTGCATTCTCACTTTTGGAAATGTTGTTACTTAATATAAAGGGAAGGATTCAGTCAACAAAGCCTGCTATACAAGAAAATTAGAGTCAATCTGAGTGTTGTGGTTCAAAACCAGCCCAGGCAGGAAAAGTCCATGAGACTCATCTCCAAAAACTATCAAAAAAGGTGGAAGTAGAGCTGTGGCTCAAGAGATAGAGCGCTAGCCTTGAGCACAAAAGCTCAGGGACAGCGCCCAGCCCCAAGTTCAAGAACAGCCAAATTAAAAAAAAATAAAGTCAAAATTTTAAACCTCCATATATATCAACTATGGTACTTTGATTTTTCCAAGAAAATCTTTGCAAAATGATACTCACTTCCACTTCTAAAAAATTCCAACTTATCTTCAACAGGCATGTGGCCATATTCATGGAGGGCTTCACAGAGGCAGGCTTTTCCTTGTCTGCACACGCTACTCTGCCTCCACAGGCCTGCTCTGTCAAGTCATGGGAAAGCAAACTTTCCTTTGCAAAGGGATGCTGGCATTCCAGCCCACTGGAGGAACTGCTGCCTGGACTCCCTCCTTAACCACAGGCCAAGAGGACGACAATAGGGACAGAAACTTGGAAAGAGCAAATTATCTCCAATGCTTAATTTGCATAGTTCATAGCAAAAAGAATATTAATCTGATAGGAAAGAAAACAGGCGCCTGTTAATCTTCTTATTTTTCCACATACTTTCTTCTGCTAGATAATAAATAGTACAATAATAATAGGTGGAAAAACGTTAAAAAAAAAACTTGGCCTTTAATGGTGTTTACAATAATGATGAAAATGGTAAATCACAACTATGCTCTACCAGGAACAGCCCACTCTCCTCTTCCTCTTTAGAACCCAGACAGACAGGATTCATTGTATCACACACACAGCATAATGTGATGTTTTATTTTATTTTTTTATTTTGCCAGTCCTGGGGCTTGAACTCAGGGCCTGGGCACTGTCCCTGAGCATTTTTTTGCTCCAGGCTAGCACTCTACCACGTGAGCCACAGGGCCACTTTTCTGGCTTTTTCTGTGTATATGGTACTAAGGAATCGAACCCAGGGCTTCATGCATGCTAGGTAAGCATTCTACCACTGAGTCACATTCCCAGCCAATAATGTGATGTTTTAATACATATGTACAAATGTACAATTGGGATATACACACAATGGAATATACAATTCAGCAATAAAGAATGAAATCCTAGGGGCTGGGAAGGTGGCTCAGTGGTAGAGTGCTTGCTTTGCATGCTCAAGGCCCTGGGTTCGATTCCTCAGCACCACATAAGCAAAAAGGAAAAAGCCGGAAGTGGTGCTGTGGCTCAAGTGGTAGAGTGCTAGCCTTTAGCTGAAGAGCTGAGGGACAGCGCCCAGGCCCAGAGTTCAGGCCCCACAACGGGACCCAAAAAAAAAAAAAAAAAAAGAATGAAATCCTAACTGGCACAGTGGCTCACACCTAGCTACTCAGGAGGCTGAAATCCAAACAACAAAGCTAGTCCAAGCAAAAGAAAATCTGATAGATTCCAATTAACCAGCAAAATGCTAGACTAGAGGTACGGCTCAAGTGGTAGAGTACTAGCCTTAAGCAAGAGGTCAAGGCCTAAGTTCAAGCCCCAAGACTGGCATATGCACACATAAAAACATATATACAAACCAAAGAAATAAACAACAACAAAAAGACATCCACAACAACATGGCTGTATTTTTTTTCTTTCCAGCTGAGGCTATGGCTCAGTGGTAGAGAGCTTGCCTACTGCACATGAAGCTCTGGGTTCAATCCCTAGCACTGCTCCCTCTCTCCCTGCCAAAGAAAAGCAAAAGACAACTTTCAAGGGTACTCACCAATAAGCTTGTTTTCTTTGACAAAACATCGGAACTCAGCCCCAGGTATTAATTCACACCATTTCCGGAGAACAAGCTGTAAACAGAGAAAAAACTGTAATATAAACATCAAGAAAGTCTAATAAACAATTTCATTCTAAGACTGTATCTTAATGACTGCCATTCAAATTGGTTTCAACCACTGGGTGTTGGTGGCTCACACCTGTAATCCTAGCTATTAAGGAGGCTACAATCTAAAGCTCAAAGTTTGAAACCAGCCAGAACAGATAAATCCAAGACTCCTATCTCCTACTAATCAGCAAAAAGCCAGAAATGGAGGTGTGGCTTACATAGAATGCAGTCTTGAGCAGAAAAGGCCAAGCAAGAGCCCAAAGCCCACAATTGAAGCCCCAGTACATCACACACACACACACACACACAAAAACAATGAAAATAAAGACATGCAAAATATTTATGAAGAGCTAGGTGTGGTAGTGTATGCCTATAATCTCAGCATTTGAGAAGTAGAAACCAGAGGGATTGTCCAATCTAGTCTACATACCAGACCCCATCTCAACAACTCTCTGGGAAACAAAAAGTTTATGGAGTTTATGAAGGTATTTATAAAGAGAGTGTGCACTGTATATACACACACACTTCAAGAAAGGGAAGTTAAAAATCAAAGTGATCCACAGAAATGGAGGGACAAAGGGTAAACAAACACAGCAATGGTACTCACTAGACACTGTCGAAAATGAACCATACAACTTGTAGGTGGGGATGGGAGGGAAAACTGGTACAGAAGGAGGGAAAAACTGGGAGAGAGCAAGGGAAGAGGAGACATTATCCAAAAAGAAATGTACTTTGTCCCTGAGCTCCTTTTAGCTCAAGGCTAGCATTCTACCACTTGAGCCACAGCTCCACTTCCAGCTTTTTCTGTGATTAAATGGAGATAAGAGTCTCACAGGCTGTCCTACCCTGGCTTTGAACTGCAATCCTCAGTTCTCAGCCTCCCGAGTAGCTAGGATTACAGGCATGAGCTACAGCTACACAGTCTTTTATAACATTGTTTATAAGTACATAATGCATTGTATCTGTTGGTTCACTGACAAATCTGTTTTACTGATCTATCCAGGAAGCACCTGCTCTGCCTTCCTACTTTGTGCTGATGACACAAAAGGAAGTTTCTAATTTTGCCTCTCCCCAAAGCACTACCTTGTTGAGATATCAAAATATGATCACCAATTGGGCATTGGTGACTCAAGCCCATAATCCTAGCTACTCAGGAGGTTAAGATCTAAAGATTCAAAGCCAGCCTAGACAGGAAAATCCATCAGACTCTTTTTTTTTAAATTTTTTTTTACTGTGAAAATACGTTCAGAGGGGTTACAATTACATGGGCAAGATAATGAGTACACTTCTTATCAAGCATTGTAGCCTCCTTCTTTGTTTCCCCTTCCCATCCCATCCTTCCCCCACCTCAACCCTCCTCCCCCACTCTACCAAAGTTGTAAAATTTGTTTTCGACATAATGACTTCTACGTCTCATTGTTGCGATGGGTCCACCTGTATCCCTATTTAAATGATTTGTTTTTCCCCTTCCCCTCCACAAATTATAACAACATCAAATACAGTGAAAGCAGGGGTTATACTGTAGGGGAGGGACATACAAAGCAACAAAGAAATAATCTTATAAATGTGTTAGAAACAATCGCATGAAAGAAAAAAACCATTTGAATACATATCTTAGGGTTCATTTCCTAGAGCTGTGGCTTAAGTGGTAGAGTGTTGGCCTTGAGCAAAAAAACCTAGGGACAGAGTCTAGATGCTGAGTTCAAGCCTCAGTACTAGAGCAAAAAGAAAACAAACAAACAAGCAAAAAAACAACCAACAGATCTGATCACCAGTGACTTGCTCTTTGCTCTTCCACATCATCATCGTGGTAGTCCACAGGATTTAAAATCTGACTTAAAAAGCTGGAAAGTGATATTCTTCAGGTAAATAAATGGAAAAAGTTAGCCGGGCGCTGGTGGCTCACGCCTGTAATCCTAGCTACTCAGGAGGCTGAGATCTGAGGATCGCGGTTCAAAGCCAGCCCGGGCAGGAAAGACCATGAGACTCCTATCTCCAATAAACCACCAGAAAACCGGAAGTGGCGCTGTAGCTGAAGTGGTAGAGCACTCGCCTTGAGCTGAAGAGCTGAGGGACAGTGCCCAGGCCCAGAGTTCAAGCCTCACGACCGACAAAAAATAAATAAATAAATGGAAAAAGTTGCAAGCAGAATCCTATGGGTGTCTGTGTATATTTTTAAAAATCCATCCTTTGGATGTCAACTTCTAAGTTCACTTCTGGAAAGGCCAGGAAGTTAGACAGGAGTGCTGCTTGCCTGAAGAGGGACAGAGGGAGTGAGCAGACCCTAGAGTGCTGTGCTACTATCCATGTGTTGCAACTGCTTGCTTATTTGTTGGTAAATCAAAATTACTATAGCTGTTTACATACATGCACCCACACCCAAGTACTAGCTTTTGGTCGGTCTTAACTTTTCACTAGCTTACTTTAGTTTTACAGAGGGAGCTGTTACATTTCCATATGTATAATATATTCCAATCAATCTCACCCTCCTCTACCACACTCTCTTTTCCCCTTTGTTTTATTGTGTTGTGTTCTGAGACAAGATCTTTCCAGGTAACCCACAACTCACTATGTAGTTCAGACTGGCCTACAACTTAAGATCCTCCTTCCTCAGCCTTGGAGCTAAAGTAACTTTTTTGTTGTTGCTTTGGTTGTGCTGAGGATCACTTAGTATGTGTTGCATAGCGTATATAAATTGCATATAAATATAAATTGCATACAATAAGGGATTGCATCCTGACCTTTTTCTTTTTCTTTTTTTTTTTTTTTTTGCTGGTTTGGGACTTGAACTCAGGGCCTGGGTGCTGTTCCTGAGCCTCTTTGTACTCAAGACTAGCGCTCTACCACTTGAGCCACAGTGCCACTTCCAGCTTTTTCTGAGTAGTTTATTGGAGTTATAAGAATCTCACGGACTTTTCTAGCCCTGGCTGGCTTCAAACTGCAATCCTTTAGATCTCAACCTTCTGAGTAGCTGGGATTATAGGTGTGAGCCCAGGGGGTTGCATCGTGAAACTTCCACACATAATTTATCCAACCCTCTCCAGTATTTTTTCTCATTTACTCCTCTCCCTGCCTATAATAAATTTCTTAAATTAAAAATTCAGAGGTTCCCAGAGAAATGAATACAAAAACCACCACTTCTTTTGCTTAGGAGTATATAGCAATTTTTAGCTGGGTATGGTGGTGAACACCTATAATTCCAGCACTGAAGCAGGAGGATCACGAGTTTGAGGTCAGACTACACTACACAGGAAGTCCTTATCTCAAAACACCAGGGGCTAGAAAGGTAGCACATTGGCAGAGCACCTGCCTAGCATGCACAGAGCCCTGATTTCAAGCTCAAGCACTGGAGGAAAAAAAAAAAAGTAGCAAATGTTTTCTTCAACTAGGATGATCAATGTCAGGTAAGAGGAAAATGTTGCTTACCTCATATTCCATACAAGGATCTGGAGAATCATCAGTACAGTGAATAAATCTTTGGAAAGAAAAAAGGGAAACTTGGGTTGTTCTTTCAGTAATCCATTTAGGCATTTATATTACTTACATTTAATCCAAGAGTCAAGTTTTATTAAAAGTATTTAGAAACAGGAGACTAATTCAAGTTCAATGAATACTTGCTAAGCATTATTTGATGCCTATGTACCCTAAGATGTTATCTTATTTAAGCCTCAAATACAACATAATGAATGCTTATATAATCAGTTACCAGCATCGTCTCCATTTTTCTGTCAAAAGACAAAGAAACTAAGAGCCAAAACCAGTCCAAATTTAGCACCAAGCCAAGAGGAAAAGAGCAACTCCTAACCTCCAAATCGCCCATAAAGGCTGGTTGCACTGAGTGTGAGTCTCATGGCATTCTTACAGCTGAGCCAGCCAGCAGTGACTCTGCCATCTAAGGACACAGTCCATTTCATTCTTCTCCAGATGCCATATAAAAACGTATGACAGCCAGGCGCTGGTGGCTCACATCTGTAATCCTAGCTACTCAGGAAACTGAGATCTGAGGATCCCAGTTCAAAGCCAGCCTGGGCAGGAAAGTCCGTGAGACTCTTATCTCCAATAAACCACCAGAAAACCAGAAGTGGCGCTGAGACTCAAATGGTAAAGCACTTGCCTTGAGCTAAAGAGCTGAGGGACAGCGCCTAAGCCCAGAGTTCAAGACCCATGACCAACAAAAATAAAAAAATGTATGACAGCTGGGCACCTGGACGCCAGTGGCTCACGCCTGTAATCCTAGCTACTTAGGAGGCTGAGATCTGAGGATCACGATTCAGAGCCAGCCCAGGCAAGAAAGTCCATGAGACTCTTATCTCCAATAAACCACTAGAAAACTAGAAGTGGCACTTTGGCTCAAGTGGTAGAGCGCTAGCCTTGAGCTGAAGAGCTCAGGGACAACGCCCAGGCCCAGAGTTCAAGCCCCACAACCAGCAACAACAACAAAGTAGTATGACAGAACCGTCCAGTCCTCCACTGAGTTTCCTTAACTGGGTGAAGTATCCAGAATGCTAACATGACTTTGAGGTCTTTGTCCTTTGAAAGGTTACTCTGGTGCAGAGAGCTAACAAGTACACATGTACTCAAAACACTGGCAAAAATAAATGAAACACTCTAAGGAAGAACTGATTGGCTGAGTGTCATGGGAGAGGGGAGGCAGTAGTGAAAAAGGGAAATGGGTTAAGTCAGGGAACGGAATGAGAAATGTCCCACAGCACTCAAAGTACTGCATGAGCTCAGTACTCACAGGGTGTCCAGCGCAAGGGGATCTACAAATATGGGGTGGAAACTTAGAACAAGGAGTGTCCAGATCAAGAAGGGTCTTCTTTGCCCCTAGGGACAAAGGGGAATTATAAAACATCTCTGGTTACACCAGGGAGATCTTTACATTCATGCATAATGTCCCTATGACTTAATAATCTGGGGGAAAATTGCCAACATGACACTGAGATGCTACTGACAAGGCTTGCTGAGACAGTCTCAATGAACAATGAGGGGATCACTCAGAAAACTGAGGCAGGAGGATGGAAAGTTCAAGGCAGACTGAGCTACACAGTGACTTCCAGGCTAGCCTGGAACAAACCAAAAAACAAAAATTAGAAATCAATGTAAGTTGACTAAAATGAAAGGAGGATAAAAAGGCCAATCTCTTGCTTCAAATCAAACTAATTTAAAGGGGTGCTACTCAGAGAAGGGATGATTTAAAACTAGAAAACTAGCTCTTATTTAAGATTTTCAAAATAAAAATTAATCTCATAAGATTGAGGTCATAAACTATCAAGTTAACAAAAATGATCATATTTATCTTTAGAAAATCCATTCTTCCTCCTCTGATCATGCCAGGATCAGAAGAAAGCATTAATGATTTCTCTAGAGCTCTTCATGACCAATTCCGTTTGGAGATAGGCCTCTATAGAGATAATATGGCACTCTGCATTAGATGATGTACATAAAGGAGAGAAGGAAAATGCATGAGGAATGTGAACTATGGATGAGAGGTTAAAAAGAATCAGAAGTTGAGAATCCCTCATCTGAGAATCTAAGTCTAATATGCTCCCAAATCTGGAAAGTTTTGAAAACCAACACAACACAAATGTGACAGATCATAGTCAAAATACAGGTAGAATAAAACTATTAAACAAAAGTACCTTCTGTTTAAGTACACATACTGTTATTATGTGAATGTATTTCAAGTTGGGGGAGGGGGTCCATCCCCAAGAACACATTTAACAACACACTCTTGGGAAAGTAAACTAACTTTTCTGGAGGAAATGCTAGGTAAATGCTAGGTAAGACTGAGTGATTCTTAAATTACTTCTGCAACCAAACTCACAGACAGCTAGTCAGGCTTTTCCTTCTCCTCTGCCTTTGCATTCACACCGACTCTCAGAGTATGCCACTGCCTTTACAACACACGTTTCAAAACAAGAGCAGGGCCAGAGTGACCTGGATCGATGTTTCACAACAGAGCAGACAGAGTCCAGTTCAGAGTGCCCAGACATATTTATTTTGGAAGGGGAGACTATTTTGGAAGCCCTAGTTCTAAAGCTGGGAAAGTGGCAGGAGGTGTGTGGGCAGCTCTGGGCCTCTGCAGGGGTCTTCTTACTCTCCCTTCTTTTCACAGTTCAGTGTGTGTTTTATTTCAACAGATTCCCTAGACTTAAACCCCAATTGATCCCCTAGTTTAACAGCCTACATTTTTTAATTAGTAAAAAATGCTCGTGACTTTTGAGTATTTTTTTACGAAGACTAATCCTTGAAACATATTTCCCAAGTCCTTTTAAATTTTTTAAAGGAAAACTGTACTACAATAAAAAAAAAAATATCTGGGATGGGCATGTGGCTTAGCAGTAGAGTGTTTGCCTAGCATGCATGAAGCCCTGGGTTCGACTCCACAACACCACATACACAGAAAAAGCCAGAAATGGTGCTGTGGCTCAAGAGGTAGAGTGCTAGCCTTGAGCAAAAAGTTCAGGGACACTGCCGCGCCCTGAATTCAAGCCCCAGAACTGGCAAAAATAAAATCCATGCTAGTCACTAGTAACTCATGGTTATAACCCTAGCTACTCAGGAAGCTGAGATCTGAGGATCATGGTTCAAGGCCAACCTAGACAGGGAAGTCCAGGAGACTCTTATCTCCAATCAACCACCAGAAAACTGGAAGCAGAGCTGTAAAGTGGTAGAGTGCTAGCCTTGAGCACAAAAGCTCAGGAATAGCATTCTAGCTCTGAGTTTAAGCCCCATGACTAACTGGAAAAAAAAGTCCATACAATATTATGAAGGACAAAATATTGTGGGGTAACAGAATTATTCTTAATAGAAAAAAACTGTTTATGACACACTTTTTGTAGGGTAGGAGGTAGGATCAAACCCAGGGCCTTAGGCAAACAACGCAAGAACTCTACTCTTGAGCTATGTTCCCAGAACCATGGCCAATTCAAATTTAATTTTTTTTTGGGGGGGAGGGTCATTCATAGGGCTTGAACTTGGGGCCTGTGCACTGTCCTGAGCTCTTTTGCTCAAGGTTAGCACTCTACCACTTTGAGCCACAGCATCACTTCTGCTTTTCTGGTAAGTAATTGGAGATTAGAGTCTTCTGGACTTTCCAGCTTTGAAATGCAATCATCAGATCTCAGCCTCCAGAGTAGCTAGGATTACAGGCATGAGCCACCGGTGCCCAGCTCAAATTTACTTTAAAACTTAAGATTTTAGTTTCTAATCACCCGGTAATTTATTACTATGATAAAACTGAACTGCCTATATATTTTTTTAAATTTTTTTTGGTCCAGTCGTGGGGCCTTTACTCTGGGCCTGGGCACTGTCCCTCAGCTCTTCACTCAAGGCTAGCGCTCTACCACTTGAGCCACAGCACCACTTCTGGCTTTTTTCTTTTTGTTTATGTGGTGCTGAGGAATCAAACCCAGGGCCTCATGCATGCAAGGCAAGCACTCTACCCCTGAGCCACCTTCCAAGCCCTTGCCTATATTTTCTCAATTTAAATATGTCAAAAGTACAGAAGAGAGACAGGAAGAATGACAAAGGAATTAGAACAAACAAAATAATCTGATCTTATCTTGATGGTCAATTTAGTAATAGAACTACTACCATTTTAATTTTTGAAATGTGATTTTAAGTGGGTGCTATATTATAAATTTGATAATAAAGATAATTTTATGAACATATTATTCTAAAAAAAAGTGAGACAAGTTAAAGTTCTATATTCACTTGCTTTAAAAAACAAAACAAAGCAAAACAAAAAACACCACAGTAAAACCTAAAGAAGCAATTCTAAGACACAGGTCTTCATTATCTATTTTTTTAATTCATTTTTATAAATATTGATCTCAATCCTGGGGAATCTTCACCTTGCCACTTAAAAAATGAGAAAATATTTTAGTACACTTGCAGTTTGCCATTCTGTCAGATAATCTTTAATGCTCACAGGTTTTAGAAGAACATATGTGGTCTAGGAGATTACTGTGCAAGGCTTTTCCTGATTAAGATGATTACCCAGATGGTCAATACCCCTCCTGAAGGGAGAGGACAGTGCTGAGCCATCTTGCAAAGTCCAAACACAAACGTCAACATTTGAGTGGCTTAGCTGAGTTACAGCAAACAATAATTTAGATTTCTTCTTTTCTTTTTTTTTTTGGGGGGGGGTCCGGTTGTGGGGACTGAACTCTGGGCCTGGGCGCTGTCCCTCAGCTCTTCAGCTCAAGGCTAGCACTCTACCACTTGAGCCACGGTGCCACTTCCGGCTTTTGTTTTTGTTTTTGTTTATGTGGTGCTGAGGAATGGAACCCAGGGCCTCAGGCATGCAAGGCAAGCTCTCTACCACTGAGCCACATTCCCAGCCCCAATTTAGATTTCTTTTACATTCTTTTCACCTACACTCTGAGAAAGTGAGTTTAAAAAAAAAATCTCACTTCTAAAATTTTATCCTGGGTCCACACTAGTTTAGAAGATTTTTGTCAAGTGAAATTTTCAAGATGGTATCAACAAAGTACTTTTAAACCAAAGTCACAAATTTATATTCTAGGTCAAAAAGAAGCCTCTATACTGAATTCTAAACAAAATTATAGTTCCTCTATAAGCCATAAATCCCTTGAAATAATATGTTGCTAAATATTAAATGTTACATAATCTACAATGTGAAGAATTCTCAGATAAAACAGTGACAATTTAATTTTGAAGAAAACAAAATATATTTATGAAATTATGCCTACCTATTTTTAACATGCTATGAAATTATGGAGAACGACATTCTAGGTCCACATTTTTAAAAATGAAAAGAGCTGCTGTGGCTCACACCTGTATTCCTAGCCACTTGGGAGGCTGAGAGTGGAAAGATTGTGGTTCAAGGACAAGAGCAGAAAGCCTCTTGAGACTCCTTTTCAATCCAAGCTGGTGCAGTGGTGTGTACCCATTATCCCAAGCTGTGAAGGAGACTGAGATTGGGAGGATCACAGTGCCAGGCCAGCCTGGACAAAGGAATATGCAAGACCCCATCCCATGGAGAAAATCTGGATGTGGTGGTGCATGCGTGTGATCTCAGCAAGGATGGCAAGCCTAAACTGAGCAGACTGCGACACCTTATCTTAAAAAAATACTCACTGCAAAATGAGGCTGGAGGCATGGCTCAGTGGTAATGTGCCAGCCTTGCAAGGCCTTCAGTTCAAATCCCTAGCACTAAGTAAGAAAAAAATAAAAAAGATTCTAGCTGAAAAAGATTCTAGCTGAAATACATGTAAAAACGGAACTAATGACATATAGAAAGGTTACTTTCTTCTTGTATTTCTATCCAAGCTCCTTCCTAAGTCATTCCCTCAATTTTTACCAGGTTGAATTTCCCACCAGCCAAATGCTCTTACTATAGATGGGCAAATGTCTTAAAGAGTGAACAAATGCAGTAGGAGTGCTCACTGGACAATATACTGAAAACAAACTATACAACTTGTGGGTAGGACCAGGAGGGAAAAACTGGGAGAGAGCAAGGGAAGGGGGTGCCATTGTCCAAAAAGAAATGCACTCTTTACCGGACTTAAATAACTGTAGCTGGGCTGGGAAGGTGGCTCAGTGGAAGAGCGCTTGCCTTGCATGCCTGAGGCCCTGGGTTTGATTCCTCAGCACCACATAAGCAAAAAGAAAAAAGCCGGAAGTGGCGTTGTGGCTCAAGTGGTAGAACGCTAGCCTTGAGCTGAAGAGCTGAGGGACAGCGCCCAGGCCCAGAGTTCAGGCCCCACGACCGGACCCCCCCCAAAATAAAATAACTGTAGCCCTCTGTATATCAGCTCTATAGTAACAATAATGAAATTTTTTAAAAAACACACAACAAAGAACAGGCTTCCTCTCTGTGTACTTCCTAATTGGCCAACACATGGTTTCCACCCTACTAGTCCAAATCCTCACAGCCTGGGCACAGTCCGTGGTGAGGATACGTGTTTGGGACTATGGGGCAGGGGAGCTCGGACAATCAGAGAACCAGGGGTGTAGACAAGGAGGATATGTCCTCTGAAATAAGGAAATAGGAAAAAATGGATGAGAAAGAATCCTTGCAGATGCTATGATTAAGAGGTATAAATTGCAAGTCAAGGCTGGATGGAGGTAGAAACCAGAGGCTAGCTTAGCAGAAAGCATACAGGCTGAGGCTGTCCTATCTGCTGAGTCCTGTCTGCTGGAACAAGGAGGTGGCTGCTAGCACTGGGTATGTGACTTGCAGTATTATTCGCTTGTGCAGTAAGCCTGTCTGTAATTCGGGCCAATAAGGTAGGGGCAGGGAAGAGAATCACCGCATTAGTACACCCAGAGGCTAATCCGTGAATTCACTCTGACAACTCAGGGACTATCCACATCCACTGATTGAGATCATATCTTCATCATTTCAAAAGAAATGGGAAAACTATATTGCTAAAGCTTTACAAGTAACAGAAATGAAGTTATTCAAGTTCTAAAATGACCAACTGCCCTAGATATTATTACGTATTTACTAGGGGAAAATCTACACTAATTGACTTGTGAACTAGTGAACCTTTTAAGAAAAGGTGGAAAGTTAGCCAGGTGCTGGTGGCTCATACCTGTAATCCTAGCTACTTAGGAAACTGAGATCTGATTATTATAGTTTCCCAGATATGAAAGCTCATGAAACTCTGATCTCCAATTAGCCACCAAAAAGCCAGAAGTGGAGCTGTGGTAGAACAAAAGCCTTGAGCATAAAAGCTCAAGGAAGTGCCTGGGCCCTGAGTTCAAGCTTAAAAAAAAAAAAAGTTGTAAAGTTAAGAGACAGACATAGGCAGAGAGAAAGAGAGATAGAGAAGGAGAGAGAAAAAAAATATGAGAAAGGAAAAGGAAACAATTGAAAAGGTATAAGGTGACTGGGCCCGGTGGCATGTGCCTATAGTCCTGGCTACTCAGAAGGTTGACATAGGAAGACTGCCTGGACCCAGGAGTTTGGGTCAGGCCCGGGTGACATACTGAGACTTATCTCTTCCACAAAACAAATAAACAAAACAATTTTGGAAGGTTACAACATTGTGCCTCACATGAACAAAATCCTAATTGTAGAGGAAAAAAATTCAAATCATATGTGGAAAAAAAGAAATGTTCTGAACCAAGGAAAACTTAAGCACCAAAGTTTTGGTATTCTAACTCTTCTTGCTGTTCAGGAAGTCAAGGATTCGCAAAGATGTCTCTATATACTAATCGGTTCTCATTTTACAGAAGGTCTGCATGTAACTGAAGGCAAGTATGTTTGTAATATACCTCAGCACCGGCAGAGTTCTTCAAGGATGTATAGCTATTTGAGCTGAGTTCTTCAAGGATGTATAGCTATTTGAGCTCATGGGTGCTTATCCATTTTCTTCTTCTTCTTCTTTTCTTCTTCTTCTCCTCTTCTTCTCCTTCTTCTTCTTCTTCTTCTTTTCTTCTTCTTTTTCTTCCCCTCCCCCTCCTCTTCCTCCAAGTCCTCCTCCTCCTCCTCCTTCTTCTTCTTTTGGTGCCTGTCCTGGGGCTTGAACTCCAGACTTAGGTGCTTTCTCTGAAGCCTTTGTGTTCAAGGCTAAGAGCTACACCACTTGAGCTACAACTCCACTTCTGGCCTTTTTGGTAGTTAATTATAGTAAGAGCATCACAGGCTTTAACTGCCTAGGCTGGCTTTGAACTGTAATCTTCAGATCTCAATCTCCTGAGTAGCTAGGATTACAGGTGTGAGCTACCATACGTTTTTTAAAGAATTTATTTGTGGATCCTGGGGCTTGAACACTGGGCTTCGGCTCTGTACATAACTTAAGGTTAGTGTTCTACCAGTTGAGCCACAGCTCCCACTTTCAGCTTTTTTAGTGGTTAACAGGAGTTAAGAGTCTCATGGACTTTCTTGACCAGACTGGCTTCGAACCATGATCCTCAGATCTCACTCTCCTGAGTAGCCAGGATTTCAGGCATGAGCACCAAACAACTGGCTGGCTTGCCATTCTTGTTTAGCAGTTGTTCCCCATGTGGTTTCTCTATGATAAACGTGTTGGTTTTATAAGAAAAACATGCTAAAATATTTAATGTGCAAATATATAAAAAGTCCTTGATATTTGGGAGATAACCATTGTACAGATTTTATTGTAAGCTTTACTAGGTTGTTTGGGAAACAAGAAATCATTTTACAGTATGGGACTCTTGTTTATAATACCACCAGAACTAATAGAGTTTTACCATGAGAAAAAATGTACAACAGCACTGGAATTTCTGGCATAGAGGAAAAAGACATACATACGGTTGCGTAAAGTCTCGAGTGATAAAATCAGAGCTCTTGAAAAGTAGAAAGATGTCACTGAGGGTTCTGCACTTCAGGGAGCTGTTCATTGCTATCCAGTAGGCATCCTAAACAAGAAAGTGTAAGATAGCTACTGAGTGGCTCATGTCCCCTGTTATGAATGACTCAAAATGTTACCACTTCAAGGACTGGAAGAGAAATACTACTGTCAAATGCCCTCGTCCACAGGAGAAGCATGACCACTGCCCGGCTGATGACCACCACATGCTGACACTCAGTCACACACTGAGGCGCATTGTGGTCCTCCTGCCTCAACCAGAACCCAGTCGCCTTCCAATGTTTCTCTGACTGATGAGGGAAGACGGGGAGAATGAGATATCAAATTCCCTGAAGCTAAAAGATGATGGCAGTAGAGCAGCCTCCCCATGACTCTCCAAGAACAAAAGCAGTCACTGTCTCTGTCCTGTTTGGGGAGAAGGGCAGCCAAACTCCTTAATTTGGGTGGTCAGGGGGGGTTAAGACCCATGTCTAGCAAACCTGGGAGGGAAATGGTGAGATACTTTAATCATCACAACTTCAAACAGTGAAGTTATTGGACGTAGGAGCAAAACAAGAAAGAATAGCAGCCATAATGCTTCAAGAAATTAATAAATAACACATGGAATTAACTTCAGAATCCTGTCACAGTCAGCAACACAAGAGGTGGAGACTGTCTTATGGCAGAACAAATACTATTTCACACACCCACAAAGTCTAAAGGAAAGGCAACAGGAAATACACAGGTGGGCCTACCCTCGGGGCACTCCAGTTGAGCTTAGGAAAGACACTGCCTCCCAACAAGTTGATGGCTTCCTGGACTTTCGTGGTGAACTCAGGAAATTCGGGGGCCTGCAGGTAAAGAAGAAATCATGGAACGAGTCAACACCATCACAGTAAACATGAAAAATAGAATGCACATCTCAGAACATTAAGTACTATTTAAATGTCTGCACTCAAGAGTCAGTAATAGAGGGGGGACCAAGATGGCGACGGGGCAGTAGGGAAACGCCACAGCTCTCTCCAACCAAAAAGAGAGTTCGAGTTCCAACGCTTAATCTCCCCAAGAGACCGACAACAACAAAAAGACGAACACTCAGAGAAAAACCAGAGGTGAGAAATAACAAAAAAAGAAAGAGAAGAAAAGAATTTC